TACTAAAGTAGCTTGACAACTGTTGTTTGTTTTTTTCAGTTTTAATTTTTTTTAAATTTGAAATATATTTAATATGGAGGTCTTGTTTGTTGTGAGATTTTATAGTCTTTTTGCTAAGACCAATTTAATTTTGTAAAATGAAATATGTTTTTTCAAAAAAAAGTTTTTTAAAAATTATTAATTTTCTTTCTCGCGATCATAGTGATTTGACTATGTATAATGAAACAGATAATAGTAAAGTACAATAACAAACTAACAAGCATCCCAGCCAATAATATTCCAGTCTCAAATGTATCAAGTTTAAATTGTTCCATTACAATTGCAATTTCTGATTTCTGAAAAAAAAATTGATATCCAATTTATAACTTATAAGCTTATAAGTTATAGCTAATTGTTTAAATCTGTTTATGTAGTGATGTGACCCGAATTCCATTTTCATATTAAATCCAATAGATATTCACTGAATTTAATATGAAAATGGAATCCAATGGATTTCGGGTCACATCAATATGTTTGATAATAATTTAACCAAAAGAAAACGTTAATATTAAATTCATGTGAACTATTAGATTTAATATGAAAATAGATATTCAATAGATTTCAGATCACATCGCTAGTTACTTATCGTTATCGTATTGTGATTTTATTTAAGTAATGATTTTCTTTCTGATAGAACTATCCAAATTCAAGTTACGCAAGATTATTTCATCTTTAAATAGTACCAACATTCTGATTGGCCACGAGTCAACTTATTTATTTCTTTGTTTAAATAACGATAGTGCACGCGATAGTAATATTATTAAAGTTGATCGACGTTAAAAACTGAATTTAATATGAAAATGGAATCCAATGGATTGAATTAGCCAGGGCGGCTCCTCCAAAGTGCCAGTAACGTAAATCATTTTCACCAGTCAGATAATACTATATATTTAACAATAAGCGATGATTTAATATATATAGTATTATTCGATTATTGAAGTGATACGTAACTGGCACTTTTGGGGGGCTGCCCTGGCTAATTCCAATGGATTTCAGGTCACAGCACTATTAAAACCATATTTATTATATTATTTATTAAGCATAAATTATTTCCAATAAACTAAAAATAAGCCAAATAATATAGAAAACATGTCCCTAACACTAATAAAATATTTGAAATAATCGATCCTAATATCGAAGACTGAACTATTTTAATTTCTCCAGCACACAAAGCAAAAACAGAAATAATTAATTCTGTTGTATTGCCAAAAGTAGCATTTAATAAATTTAATAGCCCCGCAATAGCTGGACCAGCTTATAAAGAAATATCCTCAGTGACAAAACTTAACAAATTCGCTAAAGGAATAATTGCTAAGCAATTAAAAAAAAAATGCATCCTGAAGGCCAATTAAAAATATAAGCAAAAATTCCTAATAGGATGAATATTAATAATAAATTGAGCAAAGATGATCTGAGAATTAATACTAAAGAAGCGAAAAATCTGTAAAATATA